TGGCTGGTGAGTCTGGGAGGGTGCCTCCTGCTCCTTGCTGTTTGCTTTGCTGCTGAAGTGACCTTTAGAAAAGGAGGATGTGTCTTTTCTGCTGCCTGAAAATGAAAGCTCTTCAGATGGCAGGGCACTGCTACCACAACTAGGTTTGGAGGCCAGCCAAGGGCAGCTGACTGTAGGGAGCAATCCTCCCTGAATCACAGAATTATGGAATGGTTTGGATTGGAAGGGACCTTTAAGATCAAGTAGTTCCTACCCGCTGCTATAGGCAGAGATGCCTTCCACTAGACCAAGTTGCTCACAGCCCCATCCAGCCTGGTCTTGAATGCTTCCAGGGAGAAGGCATCCACAACCTCTGTGGGCAACCTGTGCCAGTGTCTGACAACCCGCACAGTACAGAATGCCTTCCTAATACCTGCTGTAAGTCCACCTCTTCCAGTTTAAAGCCCTTTCCCCTTATCCTGTTGCTATATGCCCTTATAAAAAAGCCCTCCACAGATTTCCTGTAGGCCCCTTCAGGTACTGTGATTTGTCTCAGCACACCATAGATGTCCTAGGGCTCCCCAAAATGCCCCATCCCCTCTGTCTGGAGAGGTGATGCAGCTGAGCTGGATTGCAAGGCAGCAAGCACAGGGCAGCTACCAACAGCCTTATTCACTCCCAGAGCTGAGCCCTCCTGGGGTCCAGCAGCTCCCAAGGCCCTGTAGCCAACATGTGAGAGAGGCAGGCTCTGACCTTCCCTCCTCAACTGCTCTGCTCACATTTCCCCAACAGCCTCTATAGACATCATCTCCCCAGCTTTGCATCCAACCCTACCACCTCCCCTCACCTGCCTGGCCCCCAGCTCAGGCGCTGGCTGGCTCCCCTTTGGGACATGAGGTACCACTGTTTGTTGTGCCCACAGCACTGAGCCCCTCAGCAGCTGCTCCCAGCTGACTGCAGCTATGCCTGAACATTCAAGCTCAACTGCAGGAAAGGAAGCAGAAATTGGTGGGGCTCTCCTGAGCTCCCAGAAGAGCCATAGGCAAGCAGGCAGGCACTAAGACCCGTGCTACAGGAGTTTCTCTGCTGTGATGGCTGCAGGGAGAAGCCCAATGTGATTTTGAATCATGGTTTGTAAAACCCCCAGTGGTTGAGCCCCGGCGCTCTGCTCAGAGATGATAAACTCGTTTCCTGTATCATTTCTTTTTTTTTTCTTCCTTCCCCATGTTGTGCTGCTGCCAGCGCTGCTTCCCGCTAGACTCCCCAGCCCTTCAGCATGCCCCAGGGACTGCCTGCTGCCCCAGCATGCCATGTATCCTGGCTGTGCTCACTGGAAGCAGGGCACCTTAACACAGTCTGGAGCTGAGCATGCCTTCCTTGCTGCCTGTCACCCAGGCATCCAAAAATGGAAGCAGACACAGGATTTGCATAGAAAAGCAGAAATAATGTGCTCCTCAGTGACCTCAGTGACCCTGAGACCTCTGCACATCCCTGCCAATATGTGCCAGAGCCAGTGGGAGCACAGGGAACCCAGGGTTCCCTGAGACCTCTCCCAGAGCTGAGTGACAAACACTGCTATTGTCCTGTCTCCATGTCCTTCTGCATTAGGGCCTGTTTGGGAAGGGGCCGTCTGTGCTGGATGCCTCCTCCAGCAAGTACAGCCCCAGCAGCTCAAGGTAACCACAACTGGGTGAATTCTCACTCCATCACATGCCCAGAGCTGGGAAGGCCTCAAGTTCAGTAGCCACCCTGCATGTCATCAGCCTTGGTAAAAGCAGCACAAGCGGAGCCACGCAGCCCCAGCAAGGGCTTATAAATATTCCCAGGCTACTGGAGCGGGTGCTGCTGCCCAGGAACCAGGCAGCCAAAATTCCCCCCACGATTAACTGCAGCACACAAACAGCTCGTGGTGCATTCCTGCGGGGAGCGGGGCTCCCTCCCCACCAGCCAGCCTGCTTGAGGCAGGAATGCCTTCCCTCTTTTTTTAAGACCAGCTAGCAGGTAAGATAATCAGTGCAAAAGCCAAGTCATGTGAGTTTTAACAGCAACAGATGAGCCACAGCACAAGCTATTTGTGGTGCAGGCACAAGGTTGCCAACCCTGAGGATTTGGTTGGAAGCCTCACTCGCTCTTGTTTTTGTTAAGCCCCTTGACTGCTGAAGTCTTGAAACTGTGAAAGAACCCAGCTTGTATTTTAATGGAGCTCCAGCTCATCTGTTCGCAAAAGAGAAAGCTTGGATGTAAGACTCAATCCCCCCAAAAACACCGACAGGTAAAATTAAGGCAACTTTGATATGGGTGTGTAAAACTCTGGGATTTAAGGCAGGCATTTGGGTGTGTGCTGTGCAGAGGTTTGAATGCCTGAACCGCTAACAATGTCACAGAAAGGTTAGTGCAAGAAAATACAATTTATTTTGAGGCTGACAATGAGTTCCTGCAAAGCTGGTGAAACCAGCAATCCCTGTGAGGTCAGGACCAGATGAAAAGCATAACTCTTCTCACTCAGTGCAGCTTAGACACAAATGTATCTTGCACCCCATGGATTGAGCTGAGCTGAGCACAGCAGCACTGACACACACCTGCAGGACAGCGTGCCCCCAGTTTCAGAGCTACGAGCTAACTGGTTTCAATGGGCAGAAGGTGCCATGTAACACGTGCAGGGCCTCAACTTGTGGGCACTTCTCTGATGGCAGCTCCAAGGGGACACCATGTTGCATCATCACATCCCTGGTACCGTGTCCCTGTGGGCTTCCTCTGCCAGGCCGGAGAGCGTGAGCTGGAGCAGGATTTGTTCTCCCCATTTTTGAGAAGAGATCAACTGCTGGGGATCACACCACACTGGGACCTGCACCCTGACACCTCTGGTGGCAGCCCAGCACCATCAACCCAGCATGACCACTCGTCAATGGCCAGCGAGGCAGCTTGCTTCGAAGCAGTGGTGCAGGAAGCGTGACAAAGGCTTGAGCTGAAAAGCAACCTGCAACCACTGTTATCAAAACAAGTGCGCCATTACTTTACAGAGCTGGCTGCAGGAACCGTTTCAGAGGGAGACTTGCAACAACAAACTGCAAAGGCATCACTGCAGGACAGTGCTGAGGCTTGCTGACCGCTTGATCTCCCTGCCTTTGTCAGCCAAAGTGCCAGGATTTCCCTAATTGCCACTACTGCTTAAATAGCGATACTGCAGATCTTCTCTGTTCAGCTCTGGTAATCCCTCAGCTGGCACTGCTCATCATGCAGCAACTCTCCTGCTGCCCTCAGCACCCAGCAAGATGCAGTAAGGGGTGCCAGAGTCCTCCAGCCCCGGTGCTGGCTACTGGTGATCTCTGGCTGGGAAACAGAGTGAAATGGCATGGCTGTGTCTGCAGCCTGCAGGTGTAACACGTGTTACTTCTGCCAGTGGGTTTCCCTATGTGATGAATCTTTATCTGTGTAAAGTGCTTTTAACGGGACTGCAATGGTGTGTGTCAGACGACGTAATGCTGAAACATATTTTTAACTCCTATGCAAACAGCTTGTCGCTTAATAAGGCAGGCCCACCAGTCTGCAATGGGGAACTGATTGAGCTTTACCCTGGGGATGTCACTGGGTACCATAGTTCCCCTGCTGCTCCTGCCTGGCCATGCATCAGCCCCAGAGAGGTGTGCTGGGGCAGCTGCAGATGCTGCCCCAGCTTGGAGGAGAAGTTGCTTGCAACCAGGCCAAGCCAAATGCCAGTGAGGGAGAACTGCCCGTTTCAAAGTTAGGGATGATGAGTAATGCACAGTACTGAGGGGAGCTGGAAATTGCAGCCTTCAGTGAAATACCAGAATTCCTCCCAAATTAGCTACATTAGGAAGACTGAACCCAAGCCCTCCCCATTCCAGTTAAATTCCTGCCTTTCTTTTGCCTCCTCCCAACTTGGCTTAGTGATCATTTTTTTCTACCCGTAATTTCACATGCAGAGAGTTTATATTCCTCAATTCCCTCACAAACATCAGCTCCCTATTTTTGGATGCTGCCTTCTATCCCACAGCCTGCAGATGCAGTAGAGTGCGATCTCAAGCACGAAGCTGTCAGCTGCAGACTTGGTTGCAGACTTGGGCATGCTCCAGGCCTTTATCCCCACACGTGAGGTGCTCAGGGGAGCCCAGCATGCCAGTACTGTCACAAGCAGCACCTGATAGAAGTTACCAGCCCAGCCGCAATGTGTGCTCAAGTGATGGGAAGGACCAGCAGATGTGTGAGGCAGTGGGAGAGGTTTGGGCCAAGTTGCAAACCACTGCCCAGGCACGCCTGAAAAAATCACTGGGCTCCTTCCCTCATGGTGGCACGGCACTAACAATCCAGCTCCGTGCCTGGGGGGAGCCGCAAAGACCCAGTGAGTTAAAGGGGGAAAACACTGGACTTTATTCATTATCCCCCTCTCTTCCCTGAGCTCAGCACAGTCCTCCCTTCGCAGGAGATGCAGGCCAGCATGCCATGTCAGCACATAACACAAAGAGCTCTCAGTCTGAGAGGAGCTGGAATCGCAGCAGAAGGATTTTTAACGCTTTAAACGATGGTTTAAGGCTGGATGGGCTCTTGAGATTGAATCCAGCCCACCACTACAGCTAATAGTGCGCGCTTATCAGGCTGCTACCTTCTGTGAACCTCCTCTGGGAGAATTTGTGTCTCTTCCTGGGTTTTGCCACCCTCAACAGGGTGCTTCGACACAAGGAAGATAACACTAGGGCTGAGATAACGCTAAGAGCCTGCACACCTGCTCTTCAGACAAGTGAACTCTCACTCACACTGGAGCGAACCTTTGGCAGCAAAAGCCATTTTCAGTTCTAGCTTCCCACGGCACTCCTGGCCTCTGCCCAGCAGCTGCCTCCACCCAGCACCCAGCAGCACGGCCACGCTGTGAGGTGGCCGCCAACACAGCCGCCCTATTAGGGCCCCGTCCTCCTCCCATCCCCACAGCCCTGCATTCCGCCCCTCCGCAGCCCCTCCAGCCCGCCGCCCACCCGCACGCAGACGTCACGTCGCGGGGCGCCCACCTCGCCCGTCCCGCCTCATCCCGAAGCGCGCTCCGCGTGCTAGCGCCCCCTTGCGGCGGGCGGGCGGAACGCGGCGGGGCGGGGCGGGCGGAGGAAGCGGAGGCGTTGCGGCCGTGTCCCTCCGCGGGCGCCATCGGCCGTGCTGTCGGAGGATCGCTCCGCGCGGCGGCGGGCTGTGAGGTGCCGGGCGGGCGGGAGAGCGGCTGTGGCCATGGCCCGCGGAGCTGGGCAGGCGTTCGCCGCCCTCTTCGGTCTGGTGCTGGCCGTACTGAGCCGCGCCGAGCCCGCGGCCGGTGAGTGCGGGGAGGGGGGAGGTGGCGAGGCGCGGGGTCCGGGGCTGAGCGTGGGGCGAGGCGCTGGGGAGGGGGGAAACGGGAGGGGGAGGGAGGTTGCGCTGAGCGGGGGCAGCCGGCCGCTTTGACGCGTGGGCTGGCCGCTGGGGCTGGCTGCTCGGCCCGAGGCAGGCGCGGGTGGGCAGCCGGTAGGAGCGCCGCATCCGAATCGGGAGTTGGGAAAAAAGTTGTTTCCTGAGAGTGGTTCGGCCAGGTTCGCTCAAAAAGAACTGAAAAGGCTCCTAATGGCATAGGAGTCTTATAAAGTCAGAAGTACATTCTCTTGGTTGAAGTGAGGCACGGTGCACATCTGGACTGTTTCTGCAAATGGCTTACTCAGCCTAGCCAATATAGTGGTGATCCTCGTTAGTACAGTGGTGAGCATCCCATAGTGGTGAGCGTCCCATAGCTGTGACCCTCGTTATTAGAGTGGTGAGCATCCCACATTTCTCGCAGGAGAGTGGGCTGATAGGATGGTGGGTGATGGCCTCAAGCTGTGCCAGAGGAGGCTCAGGCTGCATATTAGGAGAAATTCGTTCTTGGGGAGAGCAGTAATGCCCCAAGATGGGCTGCTTGGACATGTGGTGGGGTCACCGTCCCTGGAGGTGTTGAAGAAACATTTTGACGTTGTTCTGTAGGACGTGGTTCAGTGAAGAAATATTGGCGGTAGGTGGATGGTTGAGCTGGATGATGTTAGGCATCTTTTCCAACTTAATGGCTCTGTCATTGTAAGATGGCCCAGTGCTGGTTTTGCAAAGGCTACACTTCGTGCCCGTTGATTTAGGCATTGCCGTAACATCAGCAGCTCCCCAGCTCATTGCTGACCCGAGGCTCTCATCCTAGCATGGCACCTGCAGTGTCTGCCCCAGCTGTGCCTGCACGTGGGAGCAGGTTGGCTCTCCCATGCTGGAGACAGCTTCTGAGTGCTAACCTCCGTTCCTTCAGTGAGTGGAGAAAGGAAAGCTGAAGTCACTGAAAGGGTATTTTCAGGTGTCTGTTCAGCTGTCTTGATGCTCTTGTGCAAGAGGCTGCAAGGTTCTGATGTCAGCCCTCTTGGTCAATGACTAGGAGGCTCCTGGATGCGCCCTGGTTTGGACGGCTCAGCGCTGCCTCATCATGCAAGCCCAATGGCACGGCAACTTGCTTTTCCAGTTGAGCCTCTGTTTAGTTTGTAGAAGCCTGCAGTTGAAGCTGCAGTGAGCTGGGGCGGGGCGGGAACACCTGCACTTTTGGTGAGGACACTTTCCTGATAATTACTGCTAATGGTGGTGATTTGCTCCTTGTCTGATCAGTCAGCAAGGAGTGAAATAGGATTGCTCACTGGTAAAGCCCACCCTGATTGGCCCCGATAATTGCCAAAGGGAGCGACTTGAGTTCTGAGTCCAGTTTCACTGCAGAGCAGGTGTTTGTGTGGGACCCCACAAAGGTGTTGTGGACCACACTCGGGATCTTTTGAGGTCTTGAGATCCTGCTGACAGTGCTGGGTCTGCTTGCTTGATAGGGGTTTGCTGAACAGCAAGTTTTACTCGATCATTTGGAGGTGTTACTGTATCACGTTTGCTCTTATCAAAGGTGCTGGTTTAGACTTTCAAAACTGAGTGTGATTAGCATCTGGCTCACATCACTTCCTGCGGGGCACTGCTGGGAGCAGAAGGACGTGAAGGCACTCTCACAGCTGTTCTCAAGGCCTGAATGTTTGGGAAAAGGGGACTGGTGCCTCTGGTAGCGTGTGGCATTGGAATCTCTTCTGTTTCTTTGTTGCCCTCTGTAGCTGTTTCCCTCCTAATTTTAGGTGTCTTGCTGCAGTTGCAGCAAGTTGCTGTTTCCCTCTGGTGTGTTTTGGTCCTGTTCGCGCTCTCCCATTTCCAAAGTGGTGTCTGTGTTGTGGAATGCCTTTGAAGCCTTGGGCTGGATGTGGCCCTCGCTGTCAGAGGGCCTGGGTGGGTGGGATTGAGCCCCGTGTCCTTTGTGGAGCTGGGAGCAGTGATGGCAGGGCAGCAGGGTGCTGACAGCCCGCGGCTTCTGCGTGCCAGCATCTCATCTAACAGCAGAACCAGACGGCTGCAGCATGTAACTTCAGGCTTCAAGGAAGCAGCATGCGTTTGTAGTCGTAGCTAAAGGCTGCAAAGCCAAGAGACAGTACAGTGCTTCTTTAATTCTGACCCATTAAGGAAATGGCATCCATCTTGGGGAAAGAAAAAAAAAAAGAACTTCTCTAAGCACCTAAAGCCCTTCTGTAGTTCTTATTTTCTGTGCATTCATTCTGATATCATCTTGCCAACAGAAGTTGAGGGCTGTGTCTTGTCAATGCCCATCCAGAAGTATTGCCTGTATCGTTCTAAACACGCGGTCCTCTGAGGGCTGCAGAAATAATTACTGGTTCTGTTTAGAAAATAGTCTGTTCCTAGGGCACATGTCCTTTTTTTAGCCTGCACGAGGATGAAAAAAGAGCTTTGTATCCCAAAACGGCGCTGGTGTCTGCTGTTTGTTCCACGCAGCGAGTTTTCATCTTGTTGCTCTGACATCACCATGGGCTGCAATGGAAGCTGCAGCAAGCAGCAGGCTGGCATTTCACAGGGCAGGCATTCGTCATGTTCGAATTAATAAAGATTTAGTGCTGGAGAATGATGGAGGACTATGGAGAACACGCAAGTATGGCTTCTGTCTGCCAGATTTCCATAGAAACACCAATACCTCCTCAGCACTTTAATTGCCTTCCCTACATTTTTTTTTTTGTCAAGAACTTTTTTTTAGCTCAGTGCTTTATGTTGCAGCTGTGGATTTGAGGCATTTGGGCTTTGTTTGGAAAACTGAAAACATGGGAAGGCAGGCAGCAGTAGCTGTGAAAGGAAATGGAAGATGTGATCACTGACAGGATTTTGAACCGTTTTACAGATTTGTTCTGTATTCAATGTCTGTTATAACTTCAGCTTTTCTCAGCAGTTCTCAATAGAAGAAGTGCTGTGCGAGCTCCCACTGGTAGGAATACAGTCCTCCAACTGGCTGCTAAGGTGAGATCTCAGGCAGAAGGAATTCATTTCCACCTGTGGGTTTGGACAGCAGTTCCCAGCCCTGCTTTTAAGAGGGCAGGTAGCTGTTTTTGCCAGGTCCTGGATTCTTGAGCTGGTATTTAAAAAAAAAAAAAAAAAAAAAGAAAAATGGATTTCTAAAACCAAATCTCTTGTTACAGCCTTGTTCTTCTAAAATCCTCTTAAATGCACATTTCTGAAGGTTTTTTACACTTCTGAAGTCTGGAGAAGCTGGCAGAAGAAGCCCAACCTGTTAGATCGTGGGGTTTTCTCACAGGGTGCAGAGGCTGAATTCCTTCGTGCTGCTCTGAGCTCTGCTCAGCCCCACAGATTATGTGAAAAATTAGTGACTTCTTCCTCAGTGCATAATCTTACTCGAACTGTAATCTTTTGAGGTTAGTGTATCATGTAATTAGTTATCTCTCCTTTGTGGTTTTCCTTCAAAACTGGGCTATTTCAGGGCGTTCTCAGCGTTATTCCTTACAGCTTTTAGAGCAGTCGGCTCTCTGCAGTGCCAGCTGCTGCTGCAGAGGATTGTTGCCCCTGTCGGCACAAACAGAAGCTACCAGTCTTCCTTTGGAATTGCTCCTCCTCATTCGGGGTTTTCTTGGCCGCTGCTTTCACGCTCTGTTATCCTGGAGGGAAGCAGGAGCAGTTTTTCACTGCCTTGCTGACCTGATGTGCTGTGGTTTCTCATTGTGTTGGTGGTACTTCAGAGCTGAAGAGCTGGCAGATGGGACTCCTGTGCATCCTGCCCTGCTGCTGCCGGCCCTGGGCTCTCTCCTTCCTCCTGGTGTGTGATGGCAGCAGTTGATGTCAGTTGCAATGGTTAAATCCATCAAAAATATATTTTGCCCTCTCATTTTCTTTCATGTATTTAACGTTATGCTTAGGTTTTTTTTTCCTTCTGTGTGATAAGTAGGTTGTTTTCAACCTTTTCCCCAGAAAACAATGCGTGCAGTTAGAGCCAAGTTTCAGCCAAATGTGTCAGATGTCTAGATATAAAGATACTGAGTTTCTATAAACTTAACGGAGAGTCTGCGGGCAGAAAGAGGAGGGAGGCCAGTGCAGTGTCATTCTATGGATAAGGCTGTACCTGCTCAGTGGTCCAGCAGGCTCTGTCAGAAGATCCGTTTCCTCTTTCGCAGTAAAACCTTTGGTCAGAGTCTTCTTAGATGCAGGATTATCAGCCACGCTTCACAGAGCTACAGGAAACCAGCTTCGTAACATTTCTTCCTTGCAGCATTAATTGTAGTATTTCAAGGTTTTATTTCTGCTTGACTTTTACTGAACTTACAGGTGAGGAGCGTGTTGGCCTTACTTTCCCATTAGCACTCACTGCAAAGCCCCTTCAGATTTCTTCTGGTTATGGCTCTGTTTCCTAGTGCTAGCCTTCTCTCTTAGAAGCTGAACTCCGATGCTTTCAGCTCCCAGTGCCAACTCTTTGCTATTTCCTTCAGTTTTTTAGCCTGGAAGGAGTCTGAATTTGTAACATGCAGATGAAGAACAGAAACCAAGTCACAACTTTGAGATCATCTTGGTGTCCTTAAAGAGCAATGAGGCAGAAGTGTAATTTCTTTTCCTCTACTTTAACAATCTCTTTAGCCAAAAACATGAAACCTGAGCTAAACCGTACCGCAGCTAACTCTGTGTTCTGCTTCAGATGCTTGGAGTCACGGCACGTCCAG